TTGTTGTCCCGGGATGAGCTGTCTAATTCCATGGCGTCACCTCCTTCTTGGGTGTGTCTTGGCCTTATGGATCGAGATGTGTTGGCTTGCTTATCCTATCCGCGCTGTAAGCGGCGTCGGTCTAGCATGGTGGTAAGTTGGATTATTTCAGCGAGGTTCTCGGGTTCCTTATGGTAGGTCATTGCTTCCTGAATTTCGTCCTTTAGTCCTTGGGCGTAGAACGTCCTGAGTGTGTAGTCGGTGTGGTGTCCAGCTACGTATGCCGCGTTCTGGAAGTCCGTAGTGTATTCCAGTACCGACTTCTTTTGTTTTAGGGTTTGAAGTGTTCTCGTGGCTTTGCGGGTCTTATCAATGTCCGCGAAAGCCTCTTTAAGGTATTTGACGAAGGTTCGATAGTCGTTGAAGACCTCCTAGGTTCGATCGGTCTATTCCTATTGCTGTTTCTCCTGACGTTCCCGTTTCATTAGGCGGAACCATTTTTCTGCTGCGCCGCGTAGGTACGTGCTGGCGTACAGGACCTTTTCTTCGTCATCGGTGAATTGTCCGCGGGAGAAGTGGAGGTAGTCGTCCAACTAGGTAAGGAAGTTCTGGGTCTTGTGCCGGTCTCTATAATAGAGATCAGGCTTTGGCACCTTGGCGTGGGATGTAGCCGGTGTAGCTGCAGGTGGTATAGCAGCGGGTGTGGGCGCAGACTGAGCCGGTTGGTCTCCTTGTAGTGGAGCTGCCGGGTTTGTAGCTTCTTGCGCTAGTAGGCCCGTTTGCGGAGCTTGTCCCTGATTGATGCGGGCCCGGAGACGGGCGTTCTCCTGTATCTAATCGTTCAGTTGCGACTGGAGATTGGCCATCTGCCCCTGCATGCCTTGCATTATGGCGAAGATGTCGTCTAAGGTTGTAGGGTTTCTCTGCTGCTGCTGCTGCTCCTGGGGAATGCTGCTACCGTCGTTTATATCGACTATCGACATCTTATCCTGTCTGGTTTAGATAGGACGGGGTGATACTTTACTAATTAAGCTTGACTTCGGAATTGAGTCTTCCTTCCTTCTTGCAAGGATGGTGGTTAAAGTGTAACGAGGCCTCTTCAGCCTAGGCGTTGGAATTGCCTAGCGGGTGAATTGGTTCGAAGGGTTTACCTTGAAGGATAAGAAGTATAGGAAGTTGAGAGATAAGTCACGTAAAGGATCGGGTATAGGCGTGTTACCATCAACCTTATAGTAGAGATTGATACTTTGAGTTGACCACGAAGGTCCTATCTACTGCTTAGAGAGCGTGGTCTAAATACATGTAGGAGATGCTAACAATCTGGATCCTGTCTTGGGATCATAGTGTTGGATCAGGTAGATGGATCAGTCCTGATCCATTAGCCTGTGCGTAGGATCGTCTCTAGTCATGTGATCCTTGTGCCACTTTTCCAACGGCTGACTTTCTGTAACTCGACAACCTTCTTCCTTATCGCAGAGCGGACGCGATAATTATCTTTACGATCGTCCGCTGTTACTTCCTTAGTGTCGGTTTACATCTTCTGCCCCTGCGGACCTTAATTCCTTATGGTCCTAGTTCCCGTGTGGGCTTTCTAGGTTTGTGGTCTTAGTTTCCTTACGGCCTTGTCTGGCACGTGTCTGTTAGTGCCTTGCGGGACGCGGGCCCTTATAGTTACTAAGCCCTTATAGTCTCCAGGCCCGTGTGGGCCTTTTACCCATAAGGTCTTTCTGACCCTGCAGGTTGATTTCCCTTGAGGTCCATAACAACAAGCTAGCTAAACAAGCTACAACACGTCTTAGAGAACATAACTTCCTACCCTTAATACCGCTGCAAGTCAAAACAACTCTCGAAGCAGCACATAAGCAATAGAACAAAGAATAGAGAACGTTAGAGAAAGGCCAACACCTCCGCAACGTAGATACAGCGGTTCCTAGACTACACGTAAGGTACCTCTACGACAAGCTCCTACGTAACCTAGCAGGGCTACTAGCCCAGTTAAGAACTAGCTACTACTAGCTTAACCAGCACCGAAAACGAATAGGACGGATAAACAACGATAAATACGAATACGGGGATATAGAATCAATATCCTATATATTACTAGACTATTCACTACTCTAGGAAAATCGGCAAAAAATATATTAAGAAACCGGACTCTAGAGAAACTACCTCTCTAGCCTCCTAGGCGGTAAACCAACAGACAAGAACTAGCCGCACATAGAAAAGAGGAAATAGACAATT